ATATATATATCTCGACTTATAAACATATAAACAATAACTGTGAACTGTTTATATCTGCTAGTTGGCTGAGCGATGCCCAAATGTTAGCGTGCCAAACTGTGGAGTTGAGGTCATGTAGTTCGCGTTTCGTTACCACCAAAATATTGCACTTTGTAGCTGTGAGTGCGTTATAAGAGTGACAGCCAATACCACCATTCGATTTGACGAGAGAGGCTCAAAAATTGGCATGCCCGCCATCTAGTCTATCTCTTCAAAATTAGTGACGGCTAACGCAGATATCCCTCGTGCAGCTTTGCGCGAAATTCAAGAAATAAACCATATGTGCTAATTCCTTCATTCTTTATACGAAAACCGAGCGTAGATTCTGAAGTCATTACATGTGCCAACCATAATGATCCAAATTCTATGCTGTCTATCATCTCATAACGTAGCTGTCCTCCAGACAGTGTTTTGTCTATAATTTGAATTTGTAATTATTTCAAAAAATTGCACCGAAACAGCGGATATACATTATAACCTAACGACAGATATAGGTAACGACCTAAGAAGCTATAGTGTATCATGATATACACAGTATGATGTAATACAAATTAGATGGCCATAGCTATATACTGTTAACATTATTAAATTATAATCGCCCTCGAAATTCGTATTTTAATTATTATTAAAAAATAACTAACACTGTATTTTTTATAGTATCAAACTACAATTTATCTAAAACTATGTTCTGTTCGTATTATTGAATTGTAACTGACCCCAAGTGTGTGCTCTTTATTTCTGCGAAATGAAGAAGACCGAAAATCTAAGTTCTTGGTAATTAGATAAAAAACAGTTGCTACAAAATCCTCTAATATAAACGGCGCGAGTTTGTTTGGTTACTTCTTGTTAAGCGTAAAGCTGCATCTGTGCTTTCCCGGTGTATCGAGGGTATCGAAACCCAATTTTTAGCGTTATAATCTCTTAGACTTACTGCTGAGCCACTGGATGGGCCAAAGGTCATTTCTTGTTAAGCGTAGAACTGCAGCTGTGCTCTCCCGGTGTGGATATCGAAACCCAATTTTTAGCGTTATAATCTGAGCCACTGGGTGGGCTAGATAACTACAACTGGGTAATAAAAACTGAGTAACTGTATAAATTGTCTGTTACTCGTGACTATGATTTTTTTTTTATCTATCAAACAGTGTGACGGCTAATTATAACTACAAATGATAGGCAAAGAGAAACAAATTGTATTCTCTGTTTATCGAGACAGTTCACTATTTATTGTCTATACACATATGACCCATGACTGATCTGACAGCCTCTGTTCTCTGTAGCTGTAAGTTCTACCTGACCTGAATACATCAGTTCAAACATGTAAACATATAACCTGGAAGTTCAATATTACACTCTCTATTTATCGAACAACTCGGATCTAAAGATTAGCCTTATGTAGAAAGGTAAGAAAATGCAATACTTATTGAAAGGACTAAAAATAGTTTACAGGTATTTTATGATAATTCAAACATTTAGAAGAATACTTTAAAACCGAAATCAGTTAACTTAAGGTTTATTGATTTCGGCGTTAACTTGTTATTAAATAGCCAGCCTACTCAATTTGCCCCTGATGAAGAATGGTCCACCTTTTGAAAGTGCTCGTGTTATAGGGTTTAGTTTTTTTTTGTCTTCATCGATTTTTTTAGTATACGTATTTTCACAGCACCATGAACTCCCACTCTGATGTTTCAACCGCTTATAAACGGACGTTAATTTCAATGACTGGGTTCTTGAATTCTTCAAAGCATTATCATTTTGGACAAAAAGCTACTTGTTTTTACTTTGTGTTGATTTGAAAAATAAATTCATCTGTAATAAAAAACAACTTTAAATCTCGGTAATTATAATACATAGCAATTATGTAATTCATTAATACTAATACTCCAGTAAAACTAACATTAAACTGATAGTTGCTATTAATTTTATCTAGATGGTTAATCTAGTACTTTAACATTCAATACCTTAACTTCAGTACTTTTTGTTAGCTAATTCAAATTTCAGTACTTCATCAATGCTTTGCCTGCTTATATAAATTTCATGTTAACTAACTTGTTCGCTACCTCAAATTTCAAGATTTTATCAGTGTTTTGCCTGCTTGTTTAAATTTCATGTTAAGTATCTTGTTAGGTACCTCAAAATTCAATAAGCATTTATAATCGTAATGTGATCCAGTTTATAATTGTTATTCTATGCACTATTTATTATCATATTTATTATAAATACCTATGTATAATGCAAATAAGAATATAATCACTTAATAATATTGAAAATAAAAATGAATTAGCTCTTTATAGTCAGTATAGTTTGCACATTTTATTACATTTACAACGGTTTGCACGTTGCCTAAGACTGCAATACCTTATTGTTACATTAATGTTATGATGTAGGCCTAACATAAATCAACAAAACGAGTTTAATCTAGCTTTGTTAATATTAAACATAAGAAATTTTTATATAGTTATAATTGATTAGTAGGCTTAATATTGATGCTTTATTCACGGTAGAAAATTTAAAAGCATGAATAAATGTTTAGCATAAATAATTGAAAGAAGTTTAAGACATTAACAAACCTTACATTAGTGCTTAATTTTAAGCTTAGTAAGTGCTAAGTATGTCAACATAATAAGGTGTCGTAATCTATAATTGTAATTATGTTTCTTATTGTTTTTATTTTATTTAATTGTTATCATTTATCATATTAATTATCATATTTGCTTGCCAACAGTACCGATAATAATAATATAAGCATTTATTACATTCGTCAATAACGTTTTCATTTTATATTCCGTTTACAAAGATTTGTAGATCGAACAATTTTTCACTGGTGCAAAAACTATTTGTGAAAAGCTGTCCTAATTTTAAAATGATAGAACAGAGGGAAGGCAGATAGGCAATAGCACCCACCACCAACTATTGGTTTACTTTTGTCTGACCGAAAAATGAAATTTGACGGATCTATCTTGTAGTTCACCGACTAGGCCAAGCTCGGTCCAGATTTTAGTGTTGAATAATGATTGAAATGTTAAACGTTTTTCAGTGCTAAACACGAACTGTATATTTACGTTTAACACACCTTATTAAATAGTGGAAATATATCTAAATATTGTTAATTCCGATTTTTCTTCTACTTTTTTGACGATTAGATTTTAAAGTTGTTATTATTATGATGGTGTTGTTTAATTGTCTTCACTACCAAGTACTCACTCTATTTAGACGACCTTAAAATCATAGCATTTATGGATGTTTAAATTTCGAAATGTTGAATCATGATTTGACACGTAAATTTCTTACGTTCTGAATATTCATTTTGTTCATACTTTAAATGATCGAGTTTCGAGCGCTGATTTTAAGCAAGAGGAGTCTGATTTGTGTTCACAATGAAAGAAGAATTAGGTCATGAACGGGACTTTAGTAAGAACAGAATGCAGGCTATGTTAACAAAACAAATAGATTGGCTAAAATTTTGTATTCTAGTGTTACCTAATTATTTATTTAATATAATATAGTGAAGAAATGTTATCACTAATAGTCTATAAAAAGTAAGGTTTGATTTTTGTGAGTGTGCAAACGCTTTTTTGTGTTTTATTATCACTCAGATTACCGATTTGTTTTTATTTCATTCCCTACCAGTAGGAGCTCATATATCATAGTGGGTAATTTTATTTTTTACAGGACCCAGTGTAAAGAGCTGACACAAAAATTAAGTGAAATTACTAATTTTCTATGTGAAATAAATAAGAGAATCCAGCAGTAATTAATTAGTGAGATTAATTGCAATATTCACGATATTTGTGTCTGAGTCTTTATTTAGCTGGTATGTTTTTAGGAATCCTGTAACCAAGAAAGTCTGGAACTCACAGGCAATTTTACGCAGAAATATTTCAGAAAAATGTGTTTAAAAAGCCAATCCCTATTCCCCCGGTAATTCTAGGATTAAATGTCTAAACAAATATTTCTTTAATTATTCAAAATGTAATCTGTCAGGAAAGTGTTAATGATAGCTTATGCGACTTATTTTGTAACAGAATATTTTACGTGTATCTTATCAGGAAATGAAGGTTAAAATATGTCTATAATATTTTAACAGTCTCAGCATTTTATAGCAAAAGTTGTTGGATGTTTTAGCTAAAATTAAGAACCCAATTATTTGATAATGCCATTATCATTTTATAATATTATATACAAACATAATACGCTGTATTGTATAAAAACTTCCTAAAGTGGAAAAAAAGACTTAGCATTTCATTATGTATAGGTGATTGGCAACTTAATTTGTGAAACCAGTTCTGTAAAATAAGGAAAAATTAACGTTATAGTAGAATATCTATAACAAAGTACAGAACAAAACGCTAGAAAACTAAAGTAATAAGGACAATTAGTATTATATTCATAGAATTTAGTTTCGATCCCTGAAGTATTTTAATAAATAAAGCCAAAGCTCTATCACATCTCAATTGAAAAAAAGAAAAACTCAGAAACAGTTGAGGTAAATGTAACGTTCAAATTGTAATACACCTGAAATAAATCCGATGGGCAAGCTACTAACTTAATGGTACTAAAATGGCTTAGTTTAATCGCGTAGTTTTAATTAAAAACTATATTAATTCATCTGTTAAGTACCCTTAATCATTAAGACTTTGACCTTTTGTTTGTTCAACCAAACTACTGTGATAAAAAGTTTTATATGGATTCAGAAATTTAAACTGAAATATGATTGAAATCAGGTCTACAGACCTAAACTTCACCTTTCAATGAATCCAGTGAGGAAAATGGTATAACTTAAAAATTATACTTGTATAAATATTTATAGAAGTGTAGAAAACAAGATACAAAAATAATTAATTTAAAGCCCACTCAATTACAAAAACAAACATCACAGAACTTAAGATTTATATTCACATGTCTATATAGATAAAATATATAGATTCACAGATAAGTTAGAATAATATTCTATTTTGTTGCAGGTCCAAACATTTTGTTGCCCGCTTTTGCAACTCCCCGACTGGGAGTACCATATCTGCCACCAGAATGCCTTTCTTCGTACTATCCGAGCTGGCGGTGCAGTCCGGGAAGTGGCTTCACGCTAAAAGCTACACCAAGATTGGAATCTGCCCTACCATTCTTTCCCTTTTTGGCTCCGCATCTCCATTCTTACGCCAGTCAAGATATATCATCAAATGGTATGTTTAATTTTTAATGTGTTTGGCATTGAATAAGATTTCAAATCATACTAGCATTTCTCTTTAGAAACATGCTCTGAAAAGAGATTTCAACTAAAACAAGGAAAGATTCAAAGTATTTTATCTTTCGCTCATTTGGGCTGTATTGCGGGATAGTTTGAAAACAAATTTTCTTATCAGTGAGAATAAAAATTACCAAGCTTCATTGAAAATAAATTATTAGTTTTAAGGGGATAATTATTTTTATAACGAGCTCAACTCTAGACACGGAAATAATAATAATATTTCCAAAGATAGGGAGTTTGGGGATAAACTCCACATTCAAGTGTGATTCATGATTCTCAAAAGTATTATGATTGCCGAATCTACTGGTATTCCAATAAAATTCACATTCACTCAGTCAGACACATCTGTTTTCTTCTGTGGAGTAAAGTAAACACCAGCTACTCTTATTTAATCGAGGAACGAAGAGGAGTGGGGAGGGCATCTTTTCGTGAATGGCCTCTTTACAACAGATATCTAATTAGCTCTGCGTAGCTATTGAATTAAAAGAACTGAGGACTGAAACGTTGCAATCATTATCTGATGTGATCACCTTGTCTGGACATCTAAACGATAGACTACATTAATGAACTTGGTTTACAATAAGCAGACCTCATATGAAGTATAAATGTACATGTAGCCCTGAAATGACCCTCTGGTTAAGAAAGGACAAATAGAAACTACATTTAATATATGATTTGCTTAGGTACCTCTAAGATGGATAGACATAGAAAGTTTTCGTTTTACATATTGATAAGAGAAAAGAGAGAAATAATTATAATTTTTGTATTACAAAAACGACAGTAAAGATGGCGTTGGTTCTAAACTTCTTCATCAATCATTGAAACTATTTTAGATCTGCGACGTGGGAAATAAAACGTTTCTTTCTTGCATACTCAATACCACAAAACAATCATTTCATCTGTAATTTATACTTTAAAAAAGACCATCTTCTTAGTAAAACGCGACAGTCATTTCTCTGCTCTAGAATAAATAGAAATATGTTAAGAATTACAAAGCTATTCAGAAAAGAACATTTTATATGTATATTACACTATAACAAACTTAGAACGTAAACGGATCCATGGATTAATTTTCAATCTCAAGTCAGAGTAATTTCAAGTAGAAAAAAATCATTCTTTACAGTATTATGACAAATATCAAGTCATAAGTTGTCATCTTGATCTATCTACAGTAATATATATATATATATATATGTGTGTGAGTTTTAGAGTCTAAAGATTACTGTGATTCAAAGTTATTAAACCTTTACTGACAAACTTCGTTAAAATCTATATGTGTTAAATTTAGTAAACATTTATAAACGCATAGTATCCTACTTGAAAAAGTGTTGGCTTTTATTTTCAACCCGAAAAAACTTTATTTAAACAAGTATTCACATTGAAATAATCAAGTGTAACAAATTGAACCATACACCGAAGAGACGTGTTTTATGTTAATATTGTATAAACATGCAGTAATTAATAAACAAATCATGGTTTGATCTTGATGTGGAGAGAGATCTGGTTTAGACTAATATCTGAAAATGTTTAATACAACTTAATCAAAACGACTTAGTTACAGATTAACATGAATAAATTATTTTAAGCCATAAATGTAAAAGATCAGTAGAATATTCAAAAGGAATGACCTAAACCTTACTCCATAGGTCTACTTCAGTTAGGCATATAAAAAACGTTTTGCAGTACGTCAGTAAAAAAAAAGAAGAATGAATTGAAACTTATATATATTATATATCTAAGTATTAATATATAACAATTTAAACAAAACTACAGAGGGTTGAGTACGTTATATTAAAACGACTTTGGAGACTCACCACGTTGTTACAGTTCATGTTGCCACATCCGGTCATGCCACAATCTGCATCTTGATGATAATAAAGCGGAGTAGTTTTAATTGCAAAGTCTCCGCCGTAAGACTGTCATGTCGAAAATGTCTAAAATACACCACTTCTTCCTGAAACCTTCCATAATCTGTCTAATATGTATTGATTATGTTACATACGTCAGATGGATAGCTTTTACTACTGATCCCTGTGTTAGTAAATTCTCACCTTTTACAATACACCTTATTTTGTTTCTCACTCCTGGTTTACGAAATGTTGCAAGTCTCTTTCTGGATAGTCCTGGTGTCCCAAGTTAATCCATATTCTTCTGTTTTCCAATGTCATTAAGTGCAAGGGATATCGTTGTCTTAGTAATTCTAAATTCCATATCTGAACATATTGTTGTGATCTGATCATATGAATATTTTGAGTCTGAGATGGCTGCTACATACCCTTCCCAAAAGGGAGCAGTTTTCAGTGGCATCACACACTACCTATGAAACGCTAAGCATTGCCAATAAATAGTTCTGATACATGGCGTTTCACCGTGACTTTATATCGACTGTGGCTGACACGTGAAATAAATAAAATCATTTTAATATAACGTACTGAATTTTCTGTATGACTTAGACCTTAGCTTATGTATAGATATTTAGTTAAGTTGTTCAAATAGAATGATTTAGACACTATTTATATCTTTTTATGCATTTCTCACATTCACGCTCTGAAATTGTCTGTTTTACGAAATGCCTCCACATTATTTAATAGCTTTGTAACGAGTTGCGTTTAATGTCAGAACAAACCTATCCAATAAATTGAGTTTCTCTTTAAAATACAAATGTTTGGCTAGAGTGGACCTTATTCTCAGCAATGGCAAAAACACAAGAATATTTATGTAATTAATCATACCAGAACGGCTCATAAACCATTCTACAGACATATACTAAAGCTTATGCATTGGAGGCTTATTACTTAAGATCTAAAAACAAAGCTCAATTCAATACTTATTCAAAAATAAGAAAAATATAGCGAAGTTAAAAGTTATTACACAGATGTAGAACAATTTCACAATATGGATGCAACAAATAAATGTGTAAGAACTCAAAAAGGCTGATTTTTAACCTTAAAGTGTATATGAACTTAGTCAAAAGGGTTGCTTTTCGTCAGTTTTTATAGAATCCTAGTCAAAAGGACCGATTTTAACGTTACAATGTATAGGACTTACTTCAAAAGGACTGTTGTTACCCTTACAGTTTATAGTACTTAAATCAAAAGGACTTATTTTAACCCTACAGCTTATAGAACATGAATTAAAAGAACTATTTTTACCATTACAGTTTATAGGACTTACATCAAAAAGACTGTTTTTAAACTTACAGTTTACAGAACTTAAATCAAAACTACTAAGTTTCATCATACTGTTTATAGCAATTAATAAGAAGAACGGTGAGTTTTACACTAGATTTTATAAACATTGGGGTCTGTTAAATATACTTAAACTTTGAACAAAAGAACTTAATAAGACTTTACATATCAAATAATAAGTTAGTATCTCAGTATGGAATTGATTTTGAATAAAACGGATTAATTTCTAGTAAATTAATCAAGAGAACTTATTTTGACCTTAAACTTAGAATATTTGACTTAAATTGACATTCATTACAACTGTGTAACTTTTAATCAAACGTATCAAATATTTTAATCCTACAGTCTGATTTAGTACTTATTTGGTTAAGGAATGTATGCATCCCCAGTCAACAGAACAGATTTTGAAATTTATTCCTGGATAGGTCCAATCTAGGTTTATATCTAGAGGCGTTCTAAAACTTACAATATGTGGCAATGTTGCATGAGCTATTATTTTGTGGATAATCAGAATTAATAGTATTTCAGTTTGTTTTATAAGTTCAATTTTGATTCACGGTTTGAAAACAGAGCCTTAGAGTCCAAAATTATTGCACGTTTGGTTCACGTTTGATACAGTATGTAGAGTTATGTGATCAACCTGAGCAACACCTTATACTAAATGTGGACAAAACTACGTCAGACACCCAGTGTCGGAGTATAGTCATACCAGATTTAGAAATATTGACCAAATGAAGAAATACTAGCCAGCAGTACCCTCCACTTACATGACTACTCTTAAACAATTAGCAAAATTGACTGTCACAGTTATAATACCACCGATAGCTGAAAGTACGGAGAGTGTACAGCCGCATATAGCGACTCGAACGTTGGTTGCATCTTCCAATCTGCAACCCGTTACACTAATCCTTGGGTCACATTCGGCCCACATTTTGAAAAAAATGTGTGTTTTTAATCAGTTTATGCTCATGTTAGCAATTACCATATCCAACCAACACTGCTTTTATTTGTGTTAAGTGTTAACTTTTGTTATATTTGAATTGTATTATTTATTTTGATTCCACACGGTGGACAAAGTGCAGATAGCCCATTGTGTAGCTTTACATTAAGAAAAGAGCAACATCATAATTTACTTTCAAACTAATATCAGGAAAGGCTTTAGGAAAGTTGCGTATCTGTCATAATAAAATATAACACAATAACTTTGAAGAACCCTTATGAATGTACACATCAATAACTTTAAATGTATATAAATTAGTCTTTCAGTAAATTTAGATTTATATGTATATATTTTTAGAAGTTTTATATAAATGTGGTTTTATCCCTATCAACAAATAAACACGAGTCCAGTATCTAACTTTAAATGTTTTATAAATTTCCCTCTTTTTCTCGTCTTTCTTTACATAAAACCCAGGCAACTACTTTCTGCCATGTTTGATGTCGAACTTCTACAGTTCTTGATATCACCAAGATTCTGTTGATGCTATAATGTGATCTCTCCACAGTGCATTGAAGCAGTAAATATAGAGTTATCTGAACATGTGGTGAGCTCGTATCCCGACAGCCAGATTATCCGAAATATATTGCCCAATATGTGGTTGAACTGTATCTCTTTCTTTGTTAGAACATCTGTCATTTCTGCCTTGCAGTCGAGTGAAGGTATTGCTCGTTTCAGCCTCCAGGCTCTAGGAAAAAAAGAGTAGCGAGCGCTACGAGTAATTTTCCACGGGGAAGTGTTTCTTGCTGG